TTCCAGAATCATTGAGTTAGAGGTTTAATAATGGAATTGATTTTCTTTTAGTAGGGTTAAAATAAAAAGTCAGTTAATTTATTAATAAATGAAATCACAATATTTACAATTAGAACAGCTGATTGTCTGATCCGATTAGATTGACTAGATTGACAGCGCTCCAAATAGGGTCAATGACCGGTACTAACTTAATTTGAATAAGTCCCATGCCCCAACTACCATCAAAACTCCCCAGAATCTTCCACCTTGGAGTTTTGACAGAACCTTTTTAAAGGACATTGCAGGGACAAGCAGAGGTCATTCAGGTCGAGGACTTCCACGATTAAGTATTCGGGAAAACTCCTCAGGCACATTTTGCCGATTTCTGGGTTTTCAGTTCTCGCTCATAGATAGGGTGGCTAATTCGTTATTTTAGCACCAAAGCGCCTTGTGCGGATTTCTTTGTGAGCCGAAAAAGAGCAACGTGATCAATTGTTTGTTCCCAAAGGCCAAAGTATTTTGGTAAGTTGTTTTCTTATTCGTTTTCTCTGTGTTTCTCTATTGCCTATGTAAATGCATAATTTTCTGTTAATTATATGGTTAAATTCCGAATATTGGACATACCTACCTGTCGCTCCACGCCCAGTCTCATAATGTCCATTTGTTTCAGGCCTTTAGACGTTACGCTTTAATCATCACCTTTTACTCATCAAGCTTTATTCATCACCTTTTATTCGTCACGCTTAGTCCTTAAGTTGAGTAAAGAGTTAAACGTTGAGCTTACTGTATGTTTCAAGTAGTACCTCCAATCTTCAACCTCTTCTAGACAATTGGAAGCCTTAGTGACCCTTATTTACTGAACTTCAGTGCCCAGGGCCAGTTGCTTCTTGTCGCGACCCTGGTCGAGTTCCAGGCCATCGGAAACACTGGAAGATATTGATCCAATCCTTCGGGTTCCCCTCAAGAGGTTTAGGGACTACTCAGGTTTGATAAGTGTGTTGTATTGTCTTAATATCTGGAGCCTATCAAACCTTACCAACCCTTTGTTGGAGTAAATCACCACAACGACGCAGTTCTACTACAATATTAAATTACCCTTCAGATTATGTGTTGTTATTTCAATTTTAATTATTAATTATCTATACATATTACTTTTATTATATAAAACTTGCCATTCAGATTATTTATCAGGTACTTTAATTTTAAGGATTTACTACCTATATTATTCCATAATATTGAATTTGCCCCTCAGGCTATGTATTATTACTTCAACTTTGATTGATGATCTAAAGTCGGTTTTTTTTTTAAAGATAATTCCCCATGTCAAAAATTTAGTAACTTTGTTGGCAACACAAGTCTTTTCTACATGAAAAATTTGAAAGCGTTGACAATTGTTCGGAAATCCCTCTCTGAATCTGCTCTGGAGTCAAACCTGTTCTGTTCTGGTTCTAATTAAAAACCCGTACCTGATTGTAGCAAAGCGTTCACTTCTGTCCTTCCGTCTGGTTTACTTTTATATTTCAGGTTGTGCTGCTATAGGTCCGTAGAAGTTTCCTGCTTTCGTTATATCGGTTGACTTGTGTACTGCAGGGAAAAGCAGGTGGCGCTCTATATTTAATTATTTAATTGATCCACACCCCTCTCCGCATTGGAAGCTAGTCGGCAACCCTTCACACAAAGTCCCGTTTCTAGATTTTAGCCACCGACCAACCCTATCTTTCTATTTTCTTTTTGTTTTAGTTACCCATTCACTGTTTCACTTCAGTCACTTCCTCATATCTAATTCTTAACTTCTTCCTCGCGTTTTATGAGTAACAGCAGGGAATCAAATTGGAAACAGCTACGATTCGCTTGGAAATGATGTCAGGTGGCAAACTTCTTCTGATGTAAGAACATTTATTTTCTACAAACTATGAGCTACAATTGGCTATTGATTTCCTCGAGAAAAAAACCAAGCGAACCAAGAGCCGGTAATAATCAAACTTTGACCTAAAAGAAATCCATAGTTTTCATGTTTTTCCATCTTGAACTGTATGTACTTATACCTATTTTATTACACTTTTTGCTCTTCCATCTTTTACCTGTTCGCACTTTCTAGAACTCGCTCACACTTCAATCATCCTCGTGTTCCGGAATAGAAAACTATTCAACTAAAACTTCAAGCAATACATCAAAAACGTTCATCTGGAACGTGTTTTCGAGGCACAAAATCTATACCCGGCTGTCGATTTTTCTCGCATTTACGCGCCCCGGTAAACTTTTTATTTTGTATTTATTTATTTAGGCAAACATACATGATAAGGGCGAGAAGTCGAAAGTTGGGGGATAAAGTCAAAACTTGAAATATTCCGATGATTTATTACAGTGAAAGTTGGTTTATGGGCATGAATAACAAAGGAAGATGAAATCAAATTAATTATTTCGCAGCCGCAAAATTCACTTCCGAGAATAAAAACTTCAAAGTTGTTAGGAGGATTAAAATTGGAATTGTTTTCAAGACAGCGAACAGTAGCGTTTTAATTAAATGTTAATGGAGGCAAACAAATCTAATTTCAAACGAAATAGTAAATTCTTGCTTTGAGAAACAATGGATAAAAATTTCATTTATATACAAGTGGTTCTTGGAGTATTCACGTTTCTGATGGTTGTCGGAAACAGTTTTCTTCAAGTTTTGCAATTGAATAGGTGCAATATAAGGAACTTGTTATTTTTATGAGCCGAATACCGTTTTATTTTAATTTTCTTGTCTAGTTGTCTGGGTTAGATTGTTTTCATTTTTCAAAGATTTGATATGATACCCTACTGAGAGAGATGATTAAATATCTTCTTGTTTCAATGGAAGATTGAATTTTGTGTCAAGGCAACGGGTATAATAGAAAATTCCATATGCGTATATCATTGTTTTGGCTTTTTCAAGAATATTTCTCGGCAAAAACCGTAAAGGCTATAAAGCGCAAAATAAACTGCCAGATTCCGCAGCAAAGTGCTCATTCTAATGTAAATCGAATGGCTGTGCATTTTCGATTTTCACGCCCTCTCTACGTTCGCTAATGGGCCTTGAATTGTTCCTAAACTGCAAATTACTCGAGGATTTCTACGTGCATGAGATTCGATAATCCTTTTTTTATGTTAGCCCTGGAGAGCCATATGGAAGGATAATAATAATAATAATAATATTTTTTTCCGTATTAAGGGCGAAAGTATATCCGACCATTCATCATTATTGTGTAAGTGAAAATTAAACAAAGTATAACCATGGGTTTCTTTTACGAATTTTTGCTCCCTTATGGGGTTTTTGAAAGGGAATTAAATAAAGATATTTTCACAACTGCTCGCCTTACGGGGGTGACATGGGGGTTTGTAGCTTTGGGGGTCGATGGAGAGAAACTCGCTTAAGTTGTATAAAAGTATAGATATATATTTTCCCAAATATGCCCTTACATATACGCTAGTCCTATAGGATGCATGACCCTTCCAACACTGGGGTCCTTATAGGGAGCCACACGTCAACGCTGCTTGGGGGACTGTCGATTAGTTATCATCGCCCTTATGCCTTGTCCAGAGGAGCTTTCCCAACGAGAGGTGAAAGAAGAGCGGAGTTTAACTTGTATTTCCGCTGCCCTTTTCCTCCGAGAATACTCACTTTTTCCACAGGTCGCCGGTACCTAGAAACCCTATTGGTGCTAAGGAAGGGTTTAAAGGATTTTTTCTTAAATAAAACACTTTATCCTTTCTGTTACTACTTCGGGCACAAAATCTGCAATCGCAATTGCCATAACTAATCGAGAAACAAGTTAATTACTATTCGAGAATGGGAAATCAAAGCGAGTAAAAATTTCTAACCTCTGTTGCCGAAATCAAAAACAAACGTATACTTCACGTTTCCAGAGACAGCCTCACTTTTTTTTTTTCTTTGACATTAGGTTTTCAAAACAACGACGTGCGACGTTGCCGATGTTGCTTTTTTAACTGCAACAAGAAGTAATTGCGCTGGACAACGATAAGGCTAAAGATACCCAGAGGGGCTTTCCCAACGAGAGGTACTTGCACTGGGGAGACTTAATTCCAGAGAGGCTTTCCCAACGACAGGTTATTCCACTGGTTTAAGTCTACCTTTGCTGCGGCTCGCGGCACAATTTATATCCGCTTATTGGTTGTCTCATCATAATTAACCAGGTTAATTATGACCTGTGTTTTGTCGATTCGTAATAAACTCATTATTGAAATCATGTACAGTGTGTTATTTTCCCAAGCAGACTCGGTGTTGACAATATAAGGGGTTGTTTTTCTTTGAAAAGAAAACGGAGGCCTCTATATTAAATTTCGAAGTTTAACATCAAAAGTTATAATTTGCATTAGGGATCCTTGCCAAGTTTATAAGGCTAATATCCAACGATTTTATACGAAAATGCCATTAATGTGTAATAATCAATTTGTTTTAGATTTTTATTTTCAATATAATCCTGTAAATACTCATTTTCCTTCAAGCTCGTAATGTTGTAGTTTACGACATAGGTATGAAATAAAACCCCTATTCTAAACTACCACATTATTCAAATTATACAGTTGTTTTCCTGGTACGGAACCAATTTAGTTTTTATCCGACGATAAAATATTTTCTATATTTTACGTGTCCCAGGTGTACGACTACAACTACACACTACGATTTCCCATGCTCGCAACATAAAATAGGGAAGTTTATCGGCGGCAAACCAATTATTTTTATCAGATTATATAAAGGGTTAAATATGCGTGTAACTTCTGGGATTCTTTTTGGTTTCACATAAAAAACATTATTCTAAAAATGTCCTAAAAGTTTCTTTATTTTATAAAGTGATTGTTAAAGCTTTGTACAAATATGAGGTTTTTCTAGGAGCTAAACGTTCGCGTAAGTTTACACCGGCCTCGCAGTATTTTAATCTTTAATGCCAACAACAAAGTTGAGGTGGCTCGTTTTTGTTTTATCAGGCTGCGGGCGCCTTTGCATTTTTTTTTTTTAATGTGTGTTGTTTTTGTTTCAGAGCCCATAACGACCCTACTGGGAGGACCAGAAATGTACATCAACAAAGGAAGTACCATGAATTTGACGTGCATAATTAAACAAAGCCCCGAGCCACCACCGTCCATTTATTGGACACACGATCAATTGGTAAGTTTTATATATTTTTTTTCATGCAGATATTTTTCCAACCTTTGTTATCGTCCAAATTCGCGTGATTTTCTAAGGCCTCTTTGTCTCAGATATTCTCAGAATCATTCGATGAATAGTTGAGATTTATGTCAACATCTGGAATCCTTTGTGGTGTTTTTAAAAACAAAGTATTTCGAAAACGGTAAATTGTATTTCTAGGCAACAAGGAAAAATACAATATATGATGATTTATCGGTCCAGAAGAATCGCCGTTTTCTATCGGAATCGTTGCCGCTGCAAAAATAGAAGGATTTTTATAACAACGAGGCTAGCAGAGAGAAAGGGATCTCTGCAATAAGGTAAACAAAATCCAATAGGAGATATCGGAACAATTCGAGGTTTATTTTTAACGATTTGGTATTTTTCGGAGCGAAAATCTTTGCTTCACCCACAATATTACGACACACATTTTATCTTGAAAAATATAATTAACATAACTGAGAAGAGCTCCAAAGACATGATAATGCTGACAAGACAAAGGCTTTGCAAACAAGATAATAATATGCTGGAATTGATGCTGGCAAGGACGTCCGGCTATACAAGATGGTTGGTTTACATTGTTAACAGAATATTATTCAAGGCAAAATATTACAAAAATATATGTCTATGAATAATGAAATACCGTCCATGTAAAATTTTTATTATGCACAATAGAATAGTGGTTTAGCTGCCGGCAATAAATTCAAAAATTTATTTCATTCCCTTTTGTTTTATTTACCGACAAAATTTAATTTTAGTTAAATTATTAACAATCCCAGATTTAATATTAAATTCCACTTTTGAAATATTATTCCAATTCCCTCAGAATACAAGCAATATTCTAGCTAGTTCAGTCGATTTATTTGTTCGACATTTAATGGACCAAAACTTTAATTTGTAAATAAGGAACAAGTTTCCCAGTGTGCTTTATTCCCTAACGAGTCCTTAGTTTGGATAATTAATGATTTTCCTATTGGACCGGAAACCGTGTCGAACGTGAATCGGATTTACAGTTGAAAATTTTATCTTGCTAAAAAGAAATTCAGAATCTCGTAAATTAAATGTATTGTGGAATCGAACTCTGCCATTACCATTACTTTCTATCAACTGGAAAGTTTCCTGGCAGTGGACTTATCCAGGTTACCGCTTTATCTTACCTTGTTTATTTACTTTAGGTAATTGGTATCGGGATAGACGACAACGACTTGATTGAGTTTTAACTACAAATAGTCTTAAATATTTAGCAGATAGTTTAAAATATTCATTGTGAAGTTTTCAATAATATTTAGAATTTGAAGCTCAATTTCTTAGAGATTATGATAGCCGCCTAAACCATTTTAATGCAGTTTTATAGAGCATTCACTTCTCTTTCTAACAGTCTATCATTCAACTTGATTCATTAAAAGTTAAGGAAACTACGGGCAATTTTTTGAGGCTATGTCAGAATATTAAAATTTTGTGTTGTTGATTTTTGCAAAAATGAACTTTTTCTTGCTAAATTTTTTTCCAAAACAAATTTTCTGTTTTATTCGTTTTTATTAACCCCTTTCATCCATTTTTGGTGAAAAAATTCAAAATTTCAAATTTTGAACTTCAACCCCCTTTTAAATCTTTTCTCAAAATCTTTGATCGTCGATATTTTGGTATCCATAATAGCTACGGAGACAAAGTTTCTTTCATATTGAAGCTCTTATTAAAAGCTACAAGAAAACCTAAATTAATTAATACCTACAACTTATAATTTTCAAATTACATGACCATGAAGTTTTAGACAAAATGTTGACTTAAATTCATTTTTGAAGCTCAATTCCTTAGAGATTATGACAGCTACCTAAACCATTTTAATGCAGTTTTATAGAGAATTCACTTCTCTTTCCAACAGTATATAATTAAAGTTGATTCATTGAAAATTTAGGACGCTACGGGCAATTTTTTGAAAGGCGATGTCAAAATATTAAAATTTTGTGTTGTCGATTTTTGCAAAAATGGGCTTTTTCTCCCTAATTGTTTTTCATACACAAGTTTATTTATTTGTTTCAACCTCTTTTATCATTTTTGCTAAAAAAAATCAAAATTTCGTACTAGTGGAAAAATGTACCAAATAACTCAGAATTAGACAAAGTGATTGATAATAACGACGAAACCTCTATTGTTCAACAAATTATTATGACGCCAGAGATCCTGCAATCTTTACTAACTGGAATACAAAATGTTCATGTAAGTCAGCCTACTCAACAACCAAGTGTAAGTGTGCAGGCCAATTTTTCTGGATGTAAATTCCGTTTTGATGGAAGCCCGGGAAGAGATGTTGAAGCATTCATTGATGCTAGCTGGTCTAAAAGGATTACCTTAATATTCTAGATCAGAATGCTCTGAAAGGCCTGTCAATGTTGTTGAAAGATTCTCCAGCTACCACCATGTAGCTCCTCAGTCAACACCTTCGATGGGGCTATAGATTCTTGGATATGGATATCTAAACCTCCACATCAGATATACAGAGAACTTTTCTTACACAAATAAAGTGAAGAGAAAACAGATATTTTTGTGAACAAAGCTCGTGCCTTGATGTCCCATTTAAGAGGTGATTCTACAATCTCTGAACATGTAGATATGGTTCACGGGTTATTGAACGTTCGTATAAATGCAACGTGAAAGTGACATTTAAAGACCTTATCGAAGCTGCCCGCATCATTGAATAAACTTTTTTTTGATAAACCGCCTATAAGGCGGTTACACACGGACGTGGATGGCTTGATACATCTACGTGCATACATCAACGTGCAAACAACAACGTGCATAGCGCCTTTGTACAGACGCTCGCACAAAACTGTAGTCTTGCTATTCTTGCTATAGTATTCCGAGTGTGCATACAAAATTGCACATTCAAAAACGCTACGATATTTTGCATACACATTGATGTTTTTGCTTGCGCGTTCATGTATGTGCGTACATGTTTTCAGACATCCACGTCCGTGTGTAACCGCCTATAGGCGGTTACACACGGACGTGGATGTCTGAAAACATGTACGTACATACATGAACGCGCAAACAAAAACATCAATAGGCGGTTACACACGGACGTGGATGTCTGAAAACATGTACGCACATACATGAACGCTCAAACAAAAACATCAATGTGTATGCAAAATACCGTCGCGTTTTTGAATGTGCAATTTTGTATGCACACTCGGAATACTGTGGCAAGAATAGCAAGACTGCAGTTTTGTGCGAGCGTCTGGACAAAGGCGCCATGCACGTTGTTGTTTGCACGTTGATGTATGCACGTATATGTATTAAGCCATCCACGTCCGTGTGTAACCGCCTAATGTGTAGGCAAAATATCGTCGCGTTTTTGAATGTGGAATCGCTAGAAATTTTGTATGCTCACTCGGATTACTGTAGCAAGAATAGCAAGACTGCAGTTTTGTGCGAGCGTCTGTACAAACGCGACATGCACGTTGTTGTTTGCACGTTGATGTATGCACGTATATGTATCAAGACATCCACGTCCGTGTGTAACCGCCTTATCAGTAAAGTGAATGAGATCGTCCGTAAACAAAAGTGCAATTATTGTAAGAATTTTGGGCACACTCAAGAAAATTGTCGTAAACTGACTCATATACGTTTTGATCAAGGCAAAGTCAGCAGCAATGAGAAGCATTATAAATGATACGAGTCCACCAATGAATAATCGTTAACCTACTGCAACACAAAATAGTAGGCCGAATACTCTATCATGCTACGGTTGTGGAACACCAGGTAACTGCCCCAAGTGCTCCAGATATCCAGTAACTCCAACGAATCCTAACAGAACCGCAATGTTTGCAGAGTTTCTCAGTACTTACCTGGTACAATCTGGTCAAATGAGCTCAGATCATAATGGTCTCACATACTTTGATTTCGGTGCTAAGTCAAGCATCGCCGGTTTCCGAGTGAAATTTCATTCGACGAGCATGTTCCTTATATATAAAGATAGTTAAACATAACTTTAGCAGATGATAAAACTAATCAAATGGATGCCTATGTATTCTGTGTCAAAATTGCATTGGAAGGCAGAGTTCATTACACCGCACTCATTTTCATTCCTGAACATCACCCCCTGCGGTCTAAACATCAATTTCCATACTGTCTCATGACAGCCTCACAGCCCTGATAACAGACCCATCAACTTCTTTTGACTTCCCTTCCTGAATAGGATAACTTTCGGTTCCAAGTTCAGTGTTGTGTGTACTCTGAGAACACCCCAACTTTCGAAACGTTGAAAGAGAAAAACCCAATGGAAAGGTAAAACTTGGTTACAATTCGGGCTTCTAGTTGAACAAAACGTGCTCTCTTCTCGCAACGACAATTCAGCAAAATGGCGTAGACTTTTGTCTCCAGAAAATTCTGAGTGGTTGGCTTACAAATACGGGGATTTACGACCAAATCCAAGTTTTCACCCTAAAACCAATTAATCTAGCAACCACTTGAGTTCCCAACAGCTCTAAAATCCCACAAAAGGTGGATGTTCCAAGGAACGAAGCCAAGAGGACCACCAGTAAAATCTGCCAACTACTTGTTGCTTGCTCAATTTAAAGAGAACGACCCTATTTTAGCCATTTACCAGGTGGGCTCATATGAGAAATTAACGAGAATTCTATTTTTTTCCAAGATACCCTCTGGTGCCAGATTTCCGGTCTTGACCAAGAAAACGAAACAAACAGCTCGAAACGAACAGCCCAAAACATAAATCGATGACAAACAAAACTCAAAATTGTTATCCAATTTTCTCCCCTTACACTAATTAATTAATTAACAATCATCATTTACCCAGTCTTTAGTTTAAAAACCATCAAAATAACCACCTGTTCCGAGATAGCAACGTTAGTAGCAACAAAAGTCAAGAAACCTCGGCAACAGCGCTGCCTGAAACGGATCAACAAGTCTCCCATAACCACACTTATTCGGCGAAAATAAATAACCGGGAAAATGTAAATAAT